GGACCAGCAGCTCAGATGCTACACTGGCCCCAGACACCTGGCACCTTCCTCTGTCCTTTCTTCCTCCCCCTCTGCTCAGCTGAAGGATCATTCATGACGTGGAGCGTCCCACACGATCAATCAGTATCCGCTCCCCTCATCCCGATCATTGTCCCTCCTCCTCCTGTCACCTCCATGTCCCGAAATCCTAATAGACTTGGCTCACCTCTGATGGCTCCTGCCGGGCTGCGGCTCTAAGTGAGGCCTCCCAGCACTACATTGCTTCCATCTCATACATATCGAGCCCTGATCATCCTACTCATGAAGGGGTAACCCTGCAACCAGAACACACACCCCACCTATTGATTGGCTCTAGCTGTGTAGAAGAAGTCAGAGCCAGTGCTGGACATTCAGTCACTAGTCAGCTCCCTGTTACACCTGGAGGATCGTGTGTGCCAATGTGTGTACCGGAGATGAACGGACCGATCCTCCGATCAGAGACTGCGGACCACCCAGGGTCCTGGGCTAATGTCATCACTTCTTGTCCTATGGGGAGCTAACACTTCACTGCCACATGGAATACTGCCACGTATTCAGACAATTCAGACTATTGTGCAAAGTAAAGATACCATCGTTCCCTCATCATTCCCTGTGTATGAGGAGAGGGGAACTCTGCAGAGAAATTAAGAATTCATACAAGAGGTCCATAGGCCATGCAGAGAGAGCGCCGGCCTGTGCTGTGCCCAGGTGCCCCTAGGTGGCAGTGCGCCCTAGGCGGATGCCTAGTTTGCCTAGTGGAAGCAGAGGAGGAGTAAAGCTGTGGTGCTGGCTGTGAAAAGGAGGATGAAGACAATTCTGATGGCTTTAAGAGAAATGTTTCACCCCTCCCAAACCGAAGGGAAGAATCATGCAAGGATTTATGGCACAGTCTAAGAGGGAGCACAAAGTGCCCCACTCTAAGGTAGTGCAGAAAAAATCTTATGTTCAGCATTTTCTGATGGTGACTGGATCCACTGGCCTGTAGGCATTGGTGAAGGGGGAACACTACATTTGAAAAGGCCTTCCCAGGAAAGTGACTTTGGTTTTGCACATGTTACTGCACAACAGAGGTAGACTCCAAACCACCCCATTTTCACCACCCTCCTCATTTTCTACAGCTACCACTACATTTATTTTAATCTGGTGGCTTTATTCCACCACACTGGAGACATAGGTGCATTCATTTATCTACATCCATTATGAAAAATAGTTTGGGATATTTTTTCTTTGTTAGGCCATGCTCAGGTAAATCAAAAGATGCCAGGCAGTGATGGCAAAGCTGCAAATAAAGCACTTACAAGTGATCACATTCATCATTGTTTGCGTGTCCTGGCTGAAGCTCTGGTGGCTCTACATGTGCTTCAGGTACCATTCTGCCCTGCTGCACATGTCATCTCATTTGAAGAGTGAATCATAAGATTTAAGCACATTTTTTCATTTGATGATGCAGAACCATTCTGACCTGTACTAGCTGCATGTGCATAACCTTTGCTTCATGCACAGTGCATAAGCAGTAATCACTTGTACTAGGCCCTATTTTAAAAAAGACCCACAACATCCATATTTAAATCTAGAAATCAACATTATGACATCATTTGAAAGCCCCCCCCCCCAAAAAAAAAATAGTTGTTCTTACGTGCACGGTATAAAATTATTTGCACTAGGCCTCAAAATGATCAGGACCACCCAACACCCCACAGATTATATTGCCTGCATGTGCAGTATTTAATTTTTGCACTAAGTGCCATTTTGAAAAGGATCTCCATCAGCTAATTTTTAATCTAGAAAACAACATTAGTGTAATTTACTTGCAGAAAAAAAAACCCTTTTAATTTGATGTGCCTAGGTGGGCAATATTCAGTTATTTGCGTTAGGCTTCAATTTGAATAGGACCCCAACAGCCATATTTAAATCTAGACATCAACATTAGAATGTAATTTATTTGTAAAAAAAATGCCGATATGTGTAGTATAGAATGATTTACACTAGGACCTATATTGAACAGGACACCCAATATCCATTTTTAATTTTAGAAAGCAACATTAAAGTCCCTATATAAAAAAAAAGTGCCTATAGCTACATGTGCAGTATTACATTATTTGCACTAAGCCCCAGTTTGAACAGGGCCCCCAATAACCATTTTTAAATCTAGAAAATCAACAGTAGAGTGTAATTAATTTTGTAAAGCGCTGCTCAAACTGTTGGAGCTATATAAATCCTGTGTAATAATGTGATGGATATGGTAAAATGCCTATTTCGTTTCCTATTGAATATATATATATATATATATATATATATATATATATATATACACGTTTTTCTACACATTTTTCTACATATTTACTTTTATACTTTTTTATATTTCTAAATGTTTTATATATATATATATATATATTGTGTGTGAATATTTTCTGCCTGCTGGGCTTTGTGGTACTTTTAGAAATCCTTGCTTAAGAAATGTCTGCTCACACGCACCGACCCCCTCCCATCATGTCAACTTGAGACAAAGGAATGTTTTTCTTTCTATAGATAAGACCTGGAAGAAGATCACACCTATACCATGACAGAGATTGTTTTCATGTGGAAATGACCAATCAAAGACTAATATAATGCTTATGCTGTTCTTACATGACTCTTGCATCATTTTGCATATATAAGCTCACTTTCTCATTATAATAAACTAGTGTTCATAGACTGAACTTGTGTATCAGCGTGAGTCTCTTCCAGTGTGCGCACATTCCAAAGCTAGAATTATTCATTTGGACAGGAGTAGATAAGCACTGGACTATTTAGTCCTCAACTAAATCAGCAATAATAATAATAATAAAAAACCCCAGAAAGATTTTAGTGCCTACAGTATTCACTTATTTGATCTTGTTTCTAATTCCAATGGGACCTGCACAGCAATTTAAAAATGTAGAAATCAACATTACAGTGTCATTAAAAAGGGTCCTAAAAGATTGTTGTGCCTACATTTTGAACAGGACCTACAGGTAGAGACCAGAAAGGTTTTTGTGAAATAAAAATGACAGAGTACTATTCCAGCTATGTGTGGCTAGGTGCTGGCTATGTTATAATGGAAACCAAAAGACACTGACAAGTGGAACTATGGATTAAGCTTTCCCCCCTAGTGCCCAAATAATTGTGGGAGAGCATATACAGTATATTTGACTGCAATTGGCGGGCTTGCTCTCTTGGCCCAGGATGTCACACAGAGAGTTAATGCTGCCATTCTGCACCCTCAGGGACGACATGCCTTTGTGGCATGGATCTGCATTGCTGGGTGCAGCTTGTGAGGGTTGAGTGTTCAAGCCCTTTTTCCTCATCCAAAGAACTGCCAAATAAACCCTATGCTGGTCGCCAACTTCACTACAGAGTCTGTCAGCCAAGTGCTTATCTGCCATATCAGCGTGCCTGCAGAGCCTTCACTGACTGGGCTGTTCCCATGGAGGTTGCCTTTAGTGGACGGTTGCCAAAATCTCTACTTTCTGCCACTTTCCTATCTAGAGACACTGTATGCAGATACTACACCTTTGCCGCATTAAACTACCACTATAATTATTTACGGGCCTCAACGTGCTAGAGTAAACACCACCTTACACCTAGATTCTGAACTGCTCTTATTTCACTGAAAACTTAGGGCTCGTGTACACTGCAGCTGATAAACTCATGTTTAGGAGCTGTTCAGCATATTTTTCAGCAGTCCCTGAACTCTCCCTAATGTTTTCCTATGTGTCCATGTACACATCATCGTTTACAGTTGTTTACAGGCAGTTGAGTTTCCAGTCGTTTTTTTGAACACACCAAACTTGCAGCAGTAGATTTTATCAGCGTTTCAAACACAAAACACATGTAAACTTGTGTAAACGCGGCTAACTGCGTGTAAATGCGGCTAACCGCGTTTATAAGCGTTTGCGTTTAGAAGCGCTTTTTAACTGTTTAATTTCCATATGCTGTTCAGATCCTTTTTTCTTCATGAAAAATGCATGCAAATCGTTTTCAAGGTGCTCAGATGGACAAAACACTGAACACAGGATGTTCCTACCAAACTTGTTACACATTGTAATGACTAATTCAGACCTCTCCCACCCTTGGAAACAAAAGATATGTTAATGACCATTCACACCTCAAATTCCTCATGAAGACCCCCTGCCAGGTGGCCTTAATGGCTCACTCCACCAGACACCTTTCCCACCCTTGGAACCAAAAGAAATGTTAATGAGCAACTCACACCTAATTATCTCAACACATACTGCTGTCTCTGCTTCTACTCTGTATTTTTCTGAAACAGTCTGAAATAGTTAATAATTTACCACTTTTCAGTGCATACTGGGCATTTGGGATGTTCTCCTGTGCTTATCTTTAAAAAACTATTCTAAACACAAACATGCATAAACGCGTTATGCAAACACAGCTAAACAGACGTTTTTTAACCTACGTTTTCCAGCAGTCAGTTTCCATCGTTCAGAAGTGTCATGGGGCCTAAGTTTTCCTAGTACTTAGTTATCCATTTAAGTTTCTTTTTTTACTATTGCAGTACTGTTTGCTAATCTGGTGCTGTCATACCAGAGTAATTTCGGAGGTTAATCTGTGAATTGTTTAACTTTCACCCTAAGCATTTATTCAATACAGTGATTTGCTTTTGTAATTCTGAATTGTGTCTTCTTGCTTAGTTTAAAAAATGTTACTAAACCCACAACAGAAAAATCAGTCTGTAGATGCAGTAAAACATGCTTGTTATACTCACTGTGGAACCTAAGGGGTTAATCCTCTGCATTGTGTAAAAAAGCTGTTTGGTTCTGACTTCTCTGATTCTCTCCTTCTTAAGAAGGGGAATAAGACAGTGTGTGGAGTCACTCTGAACATGCTCGGTTTGGTGTGCATTGCTAGAGAGGTTTTTTTTTTTCCTTGGGAGAGTGCATGTGATCGGCACAGAGCCAATCGGCACTGTACAGACAGAGGTCAGGGGTTCCTGAAACCTCCTAGAGCAGAAAGAAAACTCCTCATGCTGTAACATGTGCTCTGCTAGACACTGATAGAAGTCACAAGACTGCTAATGAGAAAAGGTATTTAGCAGTTTATATTTACTAAAATAATTGCATTTCCATGTTGTGTGTACTGTGGGAGATCAGATAGAGTGAATGTAGGGTCCTGGGTTTAGTAACACTTTAAAGGGTGTTGTTGTCTGCATTAAATATGTACGAACCTAGAGTGTCAGAAGGGTTGAGGCGCTTGCAGCAAGGTCAAGGCAACAACTGGGGACAAGCATCAACTAGTGGCCCTCATGGTGGGTAGTTCTACATATGGTCAGTGGGTGGACTGGACACCGAATAGTCCCAGGGGTCTACTCATAAATTTGAAAAAAAAAAAAGTGAATCATGTGATTTAAGCACATTTTCATTTGTAGACAAAGAATTTGCTTGGCCCCTAATAGCTGCGCGTGATAAGCCTGTGCCTTTTACACAGCATGTACACAATGTTTAATCAGAATTACTAGACCTGCATTTGAGCACAAACCCCAACGGCTATTTTAAAATCTAGAAATGAACATTAGAATTTAATTTATGCATAGAAAAAAGCCCCATAAAGATCGATGCAACTACCTGTGAAGTATTTAACCACTTTCCTACTGGGCACTTTTACCCCCAATTTTCAGCTTTCAGCGCTGTCACTCATTGAATGACTCAATTGCGCAGTCATGAAACACTGTACCCATATGACATTTTTATCATTTTTTCACACACAGAACTTTCTTTTGGTGGTATTTAATCACCGCTGGGTGTTTTTATTTTTTGCACTATAAACTAAAAAAGAGCAAAAAATTTTAAAAAATTTTTTTGTTTCTATTATAAAGTTTTGAAAACAGGTAATTTTTCTCCTTCACTGATGTGTGTTGATGAGGCTTCACTGATAGGCAGCACTAATGGGCACTGATGAGGTCGCACAGATAGGCTGCACTGATGAGGTGGCACTGGTGGGTATTGATGAGGAGGCACTGATGATGCACTGATATGCAGCAATGATGGTCACTGATAGGCAGCACTAATGGGCACTGATAGGCGGCACTGATGGGCAACACTGCTGGGCTGCGCTGACTGATGGCACTGACTGACAGCACTGACTGGTGGCACTGACTGGCAGCACTGCTGGGCACTGATGGGTACAACTGCTTGTACATCACTGATGGGTGGCGGTGCTGGGCACTGATGGGTGGCACTGATGGGCACGGATCATCACTGCTGATCTGTTCTGTCACTTTTGCCAGTTATTGGCAGTACGTTCCTCACACTGTGACAGTGTGAGGAAAGTGCTGCCAAAAACTGGCAACTGTATTTACTCAGTGATCTGCTGTGTCATTGGACACAGCTGATCACGTGGTAAAAGGCCACTGTGATTGGCCTTTTATCTCATCACATGATCAGCTATGTCCATAGGACACAGCGATCATGGAGATTGCCGGGGGCACGCAGGAGGGCGCGTTCTGGGAGGACATCATATGACGCCCTCACAAAACTGGACAACCGTGCTGTAGCCGGCATTCGGCTATAGAGCGGTTATCAAGTGGTTAATTATTTGCATTAGGAAACAATTTGTACAAGAGCCCAAACAGCCATTCTTAATATTCAAAATATTGTATGTAATTGTATTAATGTTATGCATATATTGGTTGTAAGTGCATGTAAGGTCTTCAAAGCGGAGCTCCACCCAAAAGAGGAAGTTCCGCTCTAAGGACTGGTCCCACGCTCTTTGTGAGGAATTGACAACTTTGGTGAGCGAGTACCTGATTTTGACAGGTACCTGTTCCCACTTGTACTGTGACGGCATAGGTGATTGGAAGTAGAAGTTGCCCCCCCCCCCGTAGTCTTCTGGGACACGTGACAGGTCCCAGAAGACTACGAGACCATTCACAATGTGCAGTGCTGCTTGTGCATGTGCAGTGGGCACCCTGCAGTGACAGCTTGCCACCAGCTGTCACGGCTGGGTAGCCACACTTAAAATGCTGGTACTGGGGTGAGAGAGGTGAAACCGGCTGGTGTGAACACACAGCTGGATCGTAAGATGGGTGAGTGGCTGTTTTTAAAGTCAGCAGCTACATTTTTTTTTAAGTGAGACTGGAGCTCCGATTAAAACACTTTTACTAGGCTGCTTTGTCAATAGGAACCACAGCAGCCAGCTTATATAAAAAAAGTTAATAAAAAAACAAAAAATTCAGCATTAACCCCTTCGCTGCCAGAGCCTTTTTTGCATTTTTTTGCACACATGTTTAAAAAATTATTTTAGGCCTGAAGATTACACAAAATCCCTCAAAAGGTTTTTTTTACTTAACTTTTTTTTCCCATCAAATAGGGAACACAAAGTCCCCTATGTGATACTTTTTAGTTGATAGATTCTCTTTATTGAGGCATGCAGGGTCTAAAAGACCCTGCCTGCCTCCTCTGGCCTTCACTCAATGTACTGCAATGCAGACCGCTTTGCAATACATTACTTCTTGACAGTGCTAGACAAGAAAGTGACAGTGGTGACCCAGAAGTGACGTCACACATGTCACCTTCTGGGCCACAGAAAGAAGGGGAGGAGAGCCATGGTGTTCCCCGGTCCAGCAGATGGACAAGCAGGACCCACATACATGGCAGGAGCGTGCATGCATGGGGGGGGGGACGACCGGTATCAAGGCCTGTGGAAGTGATCGGGCAGCTGCGCTTCTGCCCACTGCTTCCACCTGACAGGCAGGAGTCTGCCTGTCAGTTTTATACACAATCCTGATGGCTGCAGCTACCAGTTTGTGTATAAAACCCCCCACTGTCAGGTCCGTATGACGTACGGATCTGGCAGCAAAAGGATAAAGATGTAATTATTTCACTGTAAACAACCCCCCCCCAAAAAAAAAAATATTCTAGTGAGTACTAGTCACTTTACCATGACCCACACCAGCCAGCTTTTAAGAGCAAAAAAAAAAATCAGCATTACAGTACATTACATATATGCAGCAGAAGCATATACCTTTATAATGCGTACTTGTCTCAGTCTAGAGCACTAAGCGGTGATTTACTAAAACTGGAGAGTGCAAAATCTGGTGCAGCTTTGCTTGATAGCCAATCAGCTTTCAGCTTCAGCTTGCTCAAAAAAAAAAATGGAAGTTGATTGGTTTCTATGCATGCAGAGCTGCACCAGATTTGCTGCAACCTCAAGTTTTAGTAAATAAACCTCTAAGTGTCATTTCTGTTTGCTGCCTTGTTCCTCTGCTATCTGCATGAGTCACGCCTGATAATCACGCCTGACACATTTTCCTGACATCAAGAGATAAAAAGGTGGCAGGGGAGGAGCTCCAGCACACAGCCTGGGAATGATGACCTCGGCTCTGTTCCTGTGAGCTGTGTGGAGGGGAGTGTGTCCTTCCCTCCAATCAGCTCTCAGAGCTCTCCTCACTGAGCTCTGCAGTGTGTATTTTCAGCACTCAGATAGCATCCATTGTCTTGTTCCAAAAGAATCTATGGCTTTGGCTATAAAAACCCCTTACCTTATGTTGGGTATATGATGATAGCACATACTGTCTCCTACCTGCTGTAACTTTTTTGTCCGTTAATATTTACCACAGGTTCACTTCAGGGGTCTATTTACAAATGTTGTCACCTAAGAATAACACTACTTTCACCGAGGATTCATACATTTTCCCAATTGAATCCGATTAGAACAATATGTGAATCTTGGATTAAAGTTGTATAAATCTTGTGTGAAAACATTTATAAATAGACCTCTAAGCGCCAGTGTAATAATTGATTTTCCTATTGGAATCCAAAAGGATTTGCTGATCATAAACCTGCTTGTGTTTAACCATCTACCAACACTAATTGGTCATTCATGCAAAACTGGCAGTATGCTGCAAGCATACAAAAGGCTGTAATCCTTCCTTTTATTTACTTACATAAAGTAACAGCGCCAGCAGTGTTTACAGAAAACCCCTGTAGAATGTACCTGATTGATGATTGTGAATGACAAGAAGATAATCAAACCCTAAAGTCGAGGTGAAATTGCCTTTTATTTTTAAACATTTTTCCCACTCCAGAATCTATATTTATTTGTCTTTTTAACTATCATTTAAATCCCTGCTGTAATGGATGCAGGGTCCACAGGGTACAAAGGCAGTAATTCAATTTTAAATCCCATAATACCAATTCTAAATCCTATAATTCACACATCAAATCCTGTAATTCAAATCGCAGTCTGTACTATTAACCCACTACCTTGCTTGAGATTTTTTTTTTGTTTTATTAGTAGAAATATTTAATGTTGTGTAATGATGCTTTATATTATTACTGTTTTGTCATACAATACATTACAATTATATTCCGGTGATAGACATAAGTGCATCCTCCTTTTCAAGTGGTTTTCTCTTCTCCAATGTTATTTGCAGGACATATTATTGGACATGCACTAAAAAAGCAGGTAAAGGCATTTAAAACCCTAGCAAGCAGTTACTGAAATAGAATGTACTGAAGGGCACAATTGTGTGTGCTTGCTTGTAGGTAATTTTGTGTTTTTCTTTTATTTGCAATGAAAAATAGTAGTGTGGACATAAGTGTAATGATTTTTTAATATAAGTTTAACTGAAAACTGGAATCTACTATTTTTTTGCATGACCAGTAATACAGTGGTGATAACATTTCAATATGGCAGCTTAAAGTGATCCAGGACTATAGAGCCTGTGGCCAAAAAAGGCAAGTGGGGGGCAAAGAATTAGTTATCAGTATTATCTAGTGTTGTCACCTCATCCCTTTAAGTCCTCATGCACACTGGACGGTTTTACAGTTGCTGTTTTTGGCTTTTGACATTTTTCTCTACAGCTAGTAAACTCCCCAGCATGTTATCCTATGTGTCCATGCATACATAGACTGTAATCAACATATTTGGCTGGAAAACAAACCCAGGAATAGTGGGTTTCTAGAGGAGTTTTTTAGCTGTAAAAATGCTCTAATGCTGAAAAACGTGGTAAAACGCCGCACATTTTTAACGTGACTTTACACAGCTAATGTTACCAGCGTTATCAAAATGTCCAGCGTGCATGACTAAAACCAAACCCATATTGATTACACAGGTTCTGTAGTTGATTAAGGTGGTAATTAAACTCACTTAGTGCCTTATCTGCATTAAAT